ATGTATAGAATTTTACAAAAAAATTTAATTTCAGGGGAGCAGAAAATTTAACAAAATTTAAAATTAATTCGATTTATTTTCATATTTGATAAAATTGGAACGGGATGCTGATAATTAACTAGAATTTAAAGTTAACTTAAAATTTTATTTAATTTTTAATCTTTCTTTTCTAATTATCAAGTATGCACATATGATGTTTATGTGTATACCTATCTATACATATATAATTAAATTTATTATGGAATACTTTTAATTTAATTATAATTATTCTTTATTTTTCAAATAAAATTTAATTACCCGATTGCAAAATTTATTCAAATTTATTCATTTAATTTGTAACAATTTAATTTTTTAATTTAAAATGTAGTTTATCTCTACTTATCCATATATTTATTGTCCCTATTTATACTCTCTCTATCCATACTTCTTGTTCTACCTATCCGTATTTTCATTTATACCTATTCACCTCTCTACCGGTGTATTCCTTCCTACATAATTACTTCATAAATGTGTAATAACATCGCGAATATGTTCATGGTTACAGAGAAAGCAGGTTTGCAAATGTAAAATTCTTCAATACGATTAACTTTTGCTTTTGGTTCCTTATAGATTTAAATGTATAAATCATATTGAAGAATCTTACAATATTTGCAAAGCTGCTTTTTCTCTGCTGAACGTAGCTAATGACTAATTGGATAGTCCAATCGTGTAATGATGAATTCGACGGGATAAATTAATCGCGATCATATTAAATAAATAAGCAATAAATAATAAGACTTAAAACAGACTTTCAATCTTTAAAATATAAAAAATTAACAGATAACAAGGCTAATGAGAGTCAGCGCAGATAATTAAACGTCTCCCGAAACCTATAGTGAACTAACTGGATGATAAAATTCGCTCTACAAGGTATTACAATTTTGTCGTTGCGATTCGTTGCAGAGCGTATACACGAACGATAAACTTCTCTCCGATGCTGCGGTCGCACTCGCTTGTTGTTTTGCAACGTTCTTGTAGAACAGAATTCACTTTTCTTTTAAACACAGTCGATACAAATGTCATTTTATCTTTATTACTATTGTCAAAAAGGATAACAATGTTTATGTCGACCGTGTTTCTTACAAGGAAAGTAGTCATCATATCATATGAAATAACATTTATTTTTATCTACTTATTCATTCATAGATTCACTTATATATTTTGGTGCATACAAAAATTAAGAATTTATTTGGTTTACATACGAATATTATTTTTTTATAAAATATGCCAAATTAAATTGAATGAATTGAATCCCTAACAGAGGAACTTCAAAAAATCAACGAAACATTGCAGTATCCACTAGACACAGATTCTTATGTAAAAAACTAGTTAATGCTAAACATAAGGTTACTAAGCTTGTTAACATAAATAAGATTACTAACATTCTGCAAAGTACCCAAGAGTGCTTGAATAAGATGCATCAAGCTGTCGAGAAGAGTACTGCCAAGCGAAAAATACTACTAGATAATAATTCTGCATATGACAACATAAGTATCGAAACTGAAAAAGAAGAACCAGCTACAGCAGAGACTGATAAGCAGCAATAATTTCCAATATTATTAATTAAACCTATGATCAATAACATATTACCAAATTGTTACTAAATAATTATTTATAAGTTTTATAAGATTTTATTACATTTTTTCTTATAATTATGGAGACCCCAATAGTTAAACTGTTTGATGAGAAACTCAGTATAGTTTATGAGCCTTCTGAGAATTCGTATCTTTTGGTAGAGGCTTTGGAGGCAGATTTAGAAAATCTACATGCGATGAAGCCAAGGATTTGTTTAGAGATAAGTATTGGCTCTGACATAGTTATCATCTTTAGTAATGGCATTAAAAAAAATATCATAACGTTTATTATATACGATTGATATAAATCCTGATGCATGTAGAATCACGAGAAGAAGTCTGATTAATTCAGTCGATGTAGATGTTTAAATGAATTTATTAGATTGCATACGAATTAAATATACATTTGACATTATTTTATTTAATCTTCCGTATGTAATTACAGAATATGTCGAAGTAGTAGATAATAGACTATTCAAAACATGGGCAGGGAGTAAAAATGGTAAACAAGTTATGGAACAAGTATTTATGTTATTCCCAAATCTTATTCCCAAATGCAGGATTGTTTTATTTAGTTGTTATAAAAGAAAATGATCCTGAATATATATTGGGCGCTTTCAAAAAGTTAAATATATCCAGTGAAATTGTTCATGAAAGAAAAGTAAGAGGACAGCATTTGTATGTTTTACGTTTTCGTAAAGGAAACGAAAAGTTAGCATACACGTCAGAAATATAGCATCCACAAGATAAAAGATTTTTATTTTATGGTAATAGAAAGAAGATATCACTTCAGTGATTGTATGTTATAAGTGTAATTATTATTTATGGTCATAAATTACAGACAAATGAACTAAATCTATTTGAATCGTGTTATATTATACTATTTTTAGACAGTTGTAACATTTATGTTATTTGTAAATCATTGTATTATATAATTACAATTAATGTATACAGGCATAACAATATATTGCATAAAATAATAATTTAATTCCTTATCTATGTATACTTTTATCTTTTAGCAGTAATTGCTCGTAAAAAAAGAAATGATAAATGGAAGCAGATAAAAAGAGAAGTCACGTTCTTTTTACAAATATAATATCCAATTTGAATTCCTCCTAATATAAATGTAAGAGTCAATTTGACTTTAAGCACATTTTTTTGGTAACTGATGAATAGAAAGAAACAAGATGTATAAATAATAATATTTAACGTTTTCAAAAATTAACAACAATATCACTAATTTAAAAATTTATTAAATTTTTTAAAAATTAATCAACAATATTATTAATTTATTAAGCAAAAAACTATTATTGTTATATTAAATATTGTATATTAATATTGTTATATTAAATATTTTTTAGTTTTTTTTATGAAAAATTAAATCTATGTGAAATGCTATATATTATGTTTCTTTAATTTAAATTAAATCAATAGAGTATAATTAAATTAATTTAATTAAGTTGAATGATATAAATTGAATAAACATAAAATGAATTCAAAGTTATATGCTTAAATTAACTCATGCTTAATAAAAAGTTAATTTAAAAAAAAATCAGTTTTTATTAAATCAGAATATTCCAATTTTTCTGAAAATCAGATTTTAATATTATTTTAAATAACAAGACAATTATAATATAATAAAGATTATCAAGAAAATTTAATATTTTATTTATAAATCATATAAAATAACAAAGATATTTTTTATACAATAAAAAAACTGATTTTTAATATTTTTACATAGATATTTTCATATTTGGATATATACTTCTATTATAAAAATAAAATATATATAGAAGCTATGTGTTTCGTGAACGTTGCTATCCCAAGAATGGATATATATAGAGTATTCGATTTACTGACTCGACTCCAAGTCAACAATCTATTCTTGTCAGCTGCATTTCTTGCACAGTTTAGCATGTTTGTAACTAAACAGAACAGACCACAGACTCGGAGTCGGGTCGAGTCAATAAATCGAATACGCTAACAGTCATCACTAATCACGGAAATAATTTAATACTTTAATTATTGCATTTATCTTTACTTATTCATATTTATTGTTCCCATCTATCTTATCTATACTTATCATCCGATCCAGTCGTGTTTTCATTCATTTATGTCTATTTACCTATCTCTCCCGTGTCTTATCTAAATTACGTTATAAATATGTAATAATACCTCGAATATATTAATGATTGCAGAAAAAACAGCTTTGCTAATATAAAATTCTTCAATACGAAGAATGTTTCTTGATTTCCCTTATAGATATAAATGTAAAAGCCAATCACACATTAATTTTACAATAAAAATGTTGATTCTTCACTCACCGACCTGATGCGCAACAGTGGAGTTATATTTACAACGTCGCCATGACGATACGTCTGTAACAAATAAATTAAAATCCAAATTAAAACAGAGTAAAGAAATAATCATTACTTTAATTTAAAATAATTTCTATATGAACGCATGCAGTTGAAAAATAATAATGCGATTTTGAAAATATAATTTTTGTAAGCATCTAATTATGTGCCAATTATTTAGTCAGATATAAAATAATTATATAATCTCTAAAAAAATTATATATTCTCTAAAATAATTATATAAATTCTCTAAAAAAGATCTTAGCAAAAATAACTTTGTATAAAATTTTAAAGTAACTTTTGAATAATTCTCTTTTTATCTAAATCAGATAAAAGAAGAAATACTTAAAAACTACTTTAAAATTATATACAAATTTATTTTTAAGATCTTCTTTAGAGAATATATAATT